GCGCCGCCCAGAGTTCTTATATCTGCAGTCGGCCACACCCCAGGAACCAGTGACGACCTATAGGACTGGCCTTGGCCGCGCCGTTCTTTTGTGGATCAAGGTGTTCCGATCCATTTTCCCTTGTCAACCCGAATGGTTTGGCTGTGAGCGAATCTGTTGTGCTAGTAGTACTCCTTAGCTCCAGGCATGCTTGTTTCTTTCTTCATTGAGACGGGGGTGGGGTGGGGTGGGGGCTCCTTTAGCCCAGGCTAACCTGGATTTCTGTCTGTAATCGAGAATGACCTTGAGCTCTGGAGCTCTCTTCCTTCATATCTCAAGTTCTGGGACTACAGGCACACACCTGACTTGTGTGTAATGCTGTCCTGCCTGTGCCTTGGTTGCTAAAGGGTTTTGTTTCGTTTTGTTTTGTTTTTTCCTGTCGCTGGTGAGTACCACCAGCCTGCTGATGTTTGCAGATTTGCCAGTGTGGATTTATTTATGTGTTTGTTACTGTGTCTGAATAACCGCTTCTTGGTATTCGTGACCAGGCGTGCCTGCGCATGTTTAGCAATTCCCGCGTCCGTTACTTTGGAGTGTGTCTGTAAGACCCTATAGGGATCTCAATCTCTTTGTGTCTCCATATATACTTATGTATGTGTGTGTACATATACACACACACAATTTCTAATATGTGTATATCGTGTGCTTGACACATGTCCCTCAGGGCTTTCTGAGAGCCTGCCTCTCCTCACTCGTATTTACTTATGTGCATGGCTCATGTCTACCATCACCAATGAAGAAAAAATTCCCAGGTCCATCAAAACATTGCTTTTTTTTTTTTCTTATTGAGATAGGGTCTCTATGTAAGCCGTGATGGCCCACAACTAATTCTCCACCCTCTTGCCTCTCAGGTGTTGGGATTACAGGCCTCAGCTTCTACACACAGCAGCCCTTTTTATTTTTATTTTTACAATGGGGAAACGGAACCTCCAGGAGAGGGGCCATATCACAGCTGAATGGAGACAGGAGACAAAACGGTGATTGACAAAAATTTTATGTGGTCTGAGCCTCTCTGGAGGCACCAGAGTCCATACTTTAGACAGGGGTGAGGGACTGGCTCAAGGGGGCAACATGACCCAAAATCAGGGAAGATGGTCCGTCACTTGAAGGAAAGACATTCCCAATGCATTGCACAGGCTTAATTAAGGTGGGGCGCACCCCACACGAGGAGGGCAGGAAGCATAGGTGGCTAAGGAGGGAAAGGGCTTAGAGAAGAATGCTACGAGGTTCCAACCTTGGCTTCGTACCTAACATTCTACACCTGTGGACCTTCAGAATCCTAGACACTAGGAACCCTGGATTCCTAAGTTATAGTGCTTAGAGCCTTAATATGTTTAGAAATATGTATTCTCCAACCTTTAATTAGGCGCTAGAAAGGCGGAAAGCAGCACAGAACCTAGAGGTGTCCAGCATTAGAAATGGTTAGAACTTTGGTGTCTGGTTAGTCACAATTAACTGTGAGCCTCTTAGGACCCAGAGTCTTGGAGCCACAGCATCATATAGTGCCTGAGATCAAGAGGAGGCCATCATTAGAGCTTTAGAGTTTAATGATCTGTAACCCTGGAGCATATGATGTGGAATCTGAGAGAATCTAGAACCTTGGACCACATTCTAGGTTATCATCACATCATAGCTTAGAAACTCAGGCTGGAGACTCTTAAAGCTTTGGAGTTTCAGATTCTAGAATCATACTTGAGATGCAGGATCTTACATAAAAGCATCTATGATGTTAATGCCTCCGAGGCTTTAACTGACCATCGCTGGAATCTCAGAAATTAAGAAAACAAAAGTCTGAAGCATTATGGTCTGGAGTATTATGACACGGAGCGCTGTTAAATTTGGGAACAGTATGCCTTACAACCTTCACGCCTAGAATCTTTAGAATTTCAAAACCTAGAAGCTTCCACTTATAGAGAGCCTCAGGCTCCAGGAAAATAAAGTCTAGATTCCAGGATCGCAGAGCTGTACAACCGAAAACCATGGGGGCATCACCAAGAATTTGAGAACCAGAAAAATCTAGAGCCACAGAATCTCAGAGCCTTCGGACAGTGGGCCATGTCTACAACAAGAGCACATTAGACCTAGAAACCAGCATCTCAGTTCCTTAGCATCAAGGACTCGTATCATCTCTGAGACCTAGAACCTTGAAATCTAGACTCCAACCTTCGAATCTAGAATGTTGGGACGTAAGATCTGAGAAGATCCTTCGACACTGCAGCCCAACCCTTCTTTTTATGGATAGGATGTTTATGTGCAGCACGTCTTTCTGTGCTGAATTTGAGAAGGGAGAGAAGGCCATGCTGCAGTTGGGGAGAAAGGCCTGGAGCGGCAAAGAGGGGGTGAGGTTTCCCCCAGTGGCAGTGCCTAGCTTGGATCCTGAGAGGGCGTCCCAGGTGGAAGACTGTCTCAGGCTCCATCCTCCTGCCCTGGGGGTGCTGGGCAGCCTCTGTCAGGAGACAGGGTGGGTCCCGGAGCTGTAGAGGGACAAAGGACGTAGCGTCCAGCAGCATGGACCTCAGCCGCAGTGAGACAGCTGCAGGAATCCTTCGGGTCAGGTTGGGTTGGGGGGTCCGCTCCTCCCGCAGCACCTCGGGGTTCCAGGTGGCTTCCACCTTCATCCATGTTGACATAAAGGATTTCATCAGGCTCCTGGGCAGGGGGCAGAGCCTTCAACGTGTTCTCCAGGTCTTCCCGAAGCTCTGCAAAACTTGGCCGGTCTCGAGGGTTCAGCTCCCAGCACCGGGACATCAGGGCATACAAAGGGCGGCCAGCTGAGCAGGGGCTTAGAAGGGGACCATTCTAGTTCGGGGGGGGGCTGTAGGACACTGGGGGAACTACAGAGAACTTCAGCAACTTAAAGAGCAGGGACTTGCTGGGCGTTGGTGGCGCACGCCTTTAAATCCCAGCACTTGCGAGGCAGAGGCAGGTGGATCTCTGTGAGTTCGAGGCCAGCCTGGTCTCCAGAGCGAGTGCCAGGATAGGTTCCAAAGCTACACAGAGAAACCCTGTCTCGAAAAACCAAAAAGAAAGGGGAAAAAAAAAAAAAAGAGCAGGGACCTGAAAATTCCCAAGTGTTTGGGGTGGTCCAGGGGACAGAAACTAGGAAAGATGGTAGGAAATCTCTCTGGGTCTCAGGTGGTTTTCAGTGAGGGTTTGAGGCCCAAACTTCCTAGTGTAACCTCTCAGAACAGACTCTCATATCAAGGCCTGGCTCCGCCATTTACCAAGCCCATCGTGTGTGGAGGAAACCTACGAGAGTCTAGGATGAATCAGAAGTCTCCAACATTCAAAAGTTCGAGACTAAGGCCCCTCCCCTTGAGTGTAGGGATTTGCTTCTGGCTCAGCAGAAGGGATGGAACTTGTGCCTTCAAACACTAAGTCAGAAAAGGTGTTGTGGCTACCCCTTGCACATTCTCTTGGATCGTCATGCCAGGAAGCTCAAGTGGCCCTACGAAACTCCCCACAGTAAGGAACAGGTTTCTTGCTCCAGCCATGTGAGGTGCCACCTTGACAATGGGTTTCCTGCCTCAGGTCTTCACATACAGCAGCACCAGTTGCCACCTTGATAACCTCGTTAGAGACCTGCAGAACTACCCTCCTAAGCTGCTCCCAGACTCTGATCTTCAGACATCACCAAATAAATGTTTACGGCTTTAGATCATTAGATTTTGGAGTGCAGTGCCTCATACATCAGCAAATGGTAATGTCCCCAACCCCGCTGTAGACTTCAATTTTCCCATCGGCAGAACGGGGAAAACAGGGCCTGGAGAGATGGCTCAGAGGTTAAGAGCTCTGACTGCTCTTCCAGAGGTCCTGAGATCAATTCCCAGCAACCACATGGTGGCTCACAACCATCTGTAATGAGATCTGGTGCCCTCTTCTGGCACACACTAGATACATGATAAATAAATAAATAAATCTTAAAAAAAAAAAAAAGAACGTGGAAAACAATGACGCCTGTCTACTTCCTTTGACTGTGGAAGGGATCCAATAAGTCAATACAAGCAAAGCACATGTATCATCACCTTCCAGTAAATTCTGTAAAAGATTAACTATTAATCTCATCCTCTTCGGCTCTGGGAGTGCCCAAAGGAAGCCTGGGGAGTCTGAATCCCGGGCTATCTCCTCCTGACCCAAGGGACATCCTCTCTTTAATCTCAAGGCACTGACTAAACGTCACACCCTTCTCTGCACGCTGAGATGCCGTAAAGGTTGATAAGCATATCCCAAAGGATCCTGCTAGCAGCTCAGAGATCTGAGAGTCTGGAGGTCAATAAATAGAGGTTTTTGCAAAGGGCCCTGGGTGTTGAGGCACATGGCGGGTGAGAGACCATGAGAGGCTAGCATCTCAGGGCCAGGGCTGTCCAGGAAGGTTGTGCACAGTTGTTTAAGAATACCTGGCTGAGCCAGGCATTGGGGGCGCACGCCTTTAATCCCAGCACTCGGGAGGCAGAGGCAGGCGGATCTCTGTGAGTTCGAGGCCAGCCTGGTCTCCAGAGTGAGTGCCAGGACAGGCTCCAAAGCCACACAGAGAAACCCTGTCTTGAAAAACCAAAAAAAAGAAAAAAAAATACCTGGCTGAGGCGGGAAGGGGTTGACCCAGCCTACATTCCACACAACAGGCAGAGCTGTAAAGGTAGCTTTACCAAACTTGCACCCCCACTGGCTGACTAGGAGTGGCACAACTCAGAGCACTGGCGAGAGGCAAATGGGTTTCCCAATATTCTGAGGAATCCCATGCACATTTAGCCAGTCTTGGAGATGCTGGGTGCTCTGGTGGGGGTAAATGAGGGGCTGGGGAGTCCCAGAGGTCCTCACAAGCCATCCAGGCAGTCCACAGGCTGTTTCAGGCGATTTTTCTGGCGCAGGTAGTCGTAAATCTCACTGTCCTCCACTCCTGGATAGGGAGTCTGGCCTCGGGTAGCGATCTCCCACATTGTCACTCCAAAGGACCACTGTCGAGAGTAGGGGAGGGGAGTGAGAGGGTCTCTCCAACACATGAGTTCAGGCACACGCTCAACCCTGGCATGGGCATTTGCTGACAGCAGAATCTATGGGTGTGTATCACAGGTATGCACAGAAAAGCTTCTGGTGTGCACGCTCGAGAGCACTCGCACACCACACACACACCCACACACACACACACACACACACACACACACAGGAGATTGACTCTGCAGGATGTGGGGATATGCACACCAATGCACACGCGTGTGGGTAGATGCCCCATGTCACCCTTCATGTCCACAATGCACACACTGTATGGCACACAGTCACCACTGCCTCCTAAGCCTTAAACTGTCCACCCTGCCACCACGCAGAGGTGAGTCTGTATAGATTCTAGCCATCTACACACGCTATTCATACATTCCCCAAACATGTCCAGGCCCCACATACAGGGTCCTTCCTGCGCAAGGAGGCCCTGCAGCTTTTCGGGTCTGGTCACCCACCCAACACACTGAATGCTCCTGGCTGGGGACACACCTACCACATCACTCTTGCTGGTGTAGACTCGATCTGCCAGACTCTCAATGGCAATCCACTTGACTGGCATCTTGGCAATGCGCCCCTGGCGGTAGTAGTCACCGTTGTAGGTCTTCTTGGAGAGTCCGAAGTCTGCTACACACACGGACATGTTCTCATTCAGCCTGTTCAGGTTGGGGGAAGCAATAAAGCCAGGACATGGGTCATCCCCACCAGGAAGCCTGCTGGTGGGGGTGTATCTCAGAAACACCTCCAGCTGACCCCAGGGTCCTGGTGGGGATGGGGTCTGACTCCTGAACTCTCACCCCAGCCCCATTCTGAAGTTCTTTATATCTTCCTGTTAGGCTAGGTCTGGACAAAGGGGCTTCTGGAAGCTTCTTCAGCTTTAGCCTTTTATCAGTCTTGAGATCTTTTTGAAACTCCTGGGTCCCTATTCTGTCTTTTTTTTTTTTAAATTAAAAATATTTATTATTAGCCAGGCATTGGTGGCGA